GAGCGCAGGGCGCTGGGGAGCGCGAGAGAGAGCGCAGAGAAAGGAGCTGGAGAGGGGAGGGAGCCGGCGGGAGGAGGGGACTCGGGGCTCCGCCGCCACCACCGCCGCCGTGCAGCCAAGGGCGCACCGCCACCTGCCGGCCGCCCGCGCGAGCCTAAAGGCAGGGCTGGTGGCCAACCCGGTCCTGGAGCTGGGCCCCACCTCCAGCGGCACGGGTCCTTATCCTCCCCCCTCCGCTCCTTCCCCACTGTCCTTCCCTCTTCCGTCCTCCCTCCTTTTCTTCCGGTATTTACTGAGCACCTACTCTGGGCCGGCCCTGCTCCCAGGCGCCGGGGTGCAGAGTGAACAACAACCGGGTCCGTTGTGGAGCTGACCCTCTGTGAGGCAGACAGATCACACCCAAGTAGACGGATTTATAGGCAAAGTTAACTCCAAGAGCCAGACAGATTATAACGTGTCCTCTTCTAGGGGCCTCTGAAGAGATGGCCATGGGAGGGATTGAGGCCCATAAGGTCCTGGAGACTTTCCCGGAGGTGAGAGTGTGCAAACGCCCCAAGGTGGTCTCAGGGGGAACCTACCCCAAGCCACGCAGATAGTGGCTTCACCTCCCAACCAGGGACCCAATGGAGCAGCCCCTAAACAGGACAGCTGCCCAGGAGGGGGAATGTTCAGAGGAGATGGGGGACCTCACTAGAAGACCACAGTGAGGAACATGGAAACTGAAGCTAAGAGCACAGAAAGTCTCCCCACCACCACCAAGGCCCTGTGGCTGCTTTAGTTCAATATCCATAAAAAGAACCACCCATCCCACCCCCACACCACCCCCCACTCCCATGTGGGCCAGATCAGAACAGACAGGGTAGAAGATTCTCAGAGGCAAGGCCAGGGTTAGAGTTCGTGTTGAGCTCTGCCAGGCCAGGGCCACCCTACCCTTCCCCTCCTCCCTCCTCGGACCCAGAGCCCTGTGTCAGATAGATAGCTTCAGGGTCAGAGTCCCTGTCACAGCCTGCCTCCCAGCAGGACCTCTTTGCTCCAGAGCAGAACAGCAAAGCCTCAAATGTTTAGGGGAAATGGGGTATTGGGAGTTCCCTCTGGGCCCTAAAGAGGCACCCAGCACCCTCACCAGGAAATCACATCCCAAAACATAAGCATTGGCTACCAGGGCTCACCATGTGCCCAGCACGGGGAGTGGGGGGCGGGTGTCCAGATGTCTAAGAAGCCCTCCCTCCTTGGAACATACCCTCAGCTCCTTCAGGATGTAAATTCCAAACCTGTCAGGTTCAAACTCAAGGGTGGGAAGGAGGAAGGGGGAGTATGCAGCTGTGGGGAACATCTGGTCTAGTGCAGGAAGCAGAGGAGAACAGAGCAGCATCAGTATGGGGCTTTGGGGGGGTAGGCAAGGCAAAGAAGTGGGGGGCCAAGAGAAGGCTGCAGAGAAGAGGTGGGACAGCCCCAGCTGGGACACCAACAGCCACAGGGCTTTCACCAAACCTCCAACTGTGAAATGAGGGGCGCTGCACAGCCTCTAGGGTCCCTTCCAGTGTGTGCTGGTTTGGTCTGGTTTGGTTTGGTTTGAAGAAAAAGAAGGCCTCTAAGTACTATCCTCACGAAATTTGGCTGTGACAATTGTTGAGCACCAACTACTTGCTGGGCACACCCCTAGGTGGGAGGAGGGTTGCTTTGTAAGTAATCAGATTTAATCCTTCTGGCCAGGTTATGAAGCAGGTATAATTATCCCCAGGTGAAGAAACAGACTCAGAGAAGTTCAGTGACTGCCCAAGGTCACCTGGCCAGTACCTCCTCAAGGCCAGATTCCACCCCAGGGTTTCTGACCCCAAAGGGGCGCTCTTGGCACCACCCTCCGGAGTTGCTGTCATCTGTATATGGGCTCTCTGGCCCTTTGCATCTCTGGGGCTGCCTGGCTAGGCAGGGAGGTAAAATAAGCTGCCACCTCAACCCTCCCCCACCCTGGCTCAAACAGAAGCTCACATTACTGACCTGGTGGGTCACATTAAGTCCCTAATAAACTGGGGAGAGGGTCCAGAGCTGGAATGCAGGTGGTATGATACCTCTCCAGGAAACTTTCCAGAACAATCTCTGCCTTTGCAATAATGAGGCTACGGGGCATAGGAAAGAGTGGGACTGATTCCTCCCTTCTGTGAACCCAGAGCTCAGGGACACTGTGACCCTCCCCCATCACGTAGGTCACAAATTCTGCAGGGCATGGGGACGTGAAGATGACAGAGACAGACAAGGGCCCCCACTCACTGGGAGCCTCTGTCCTGGTGGGGCAGACAGCTGCTGAGGAAAAGTCATTTCGGCAAATAGCAAGTGCCAGAAAAGAGTAAAGCAGTCACCTGACGAAGAAGGCTCACGGCTCTGCGGGCCAGCCCCAGCAGCAGGTAGCACTGAGCACAGGGAAGAGCATCTAAGCAGAGGGAAGAGCCCTGAGCAGCAACCCTGGCTCAGAGGGGCTGGCACATTCGGGGAGGAGCAGGTGGCTAGCGGCTTGATTTGTATTCACAGTCAGATAGTAAGTCACAGGGTTGTTTAAGCAAGGGACTGAGATGATTGGCATTTTTACAGCCATCATTCTGGTAGCTGTAAGGATAGGTGCTGGAAGCCACTTAGAAAGCTGCTCCTCCCAAGGTCCAGAGAGGCTGAGAGCTGGCAGTGGCTGGGAGCTCTGGCAGGGCAACATTAAAGGAAAGAAGTCTGCAAGGATCGGTGAGCTATGCCCAGGTGCCTCCCACAGCTCTTGCACTGTCCTTAGTGACCCACATCAGGGACTTGGGGACATGGCTGCAAGAGAAAGACATGGGAAAATGTAGATAGTTAAGGGCCAGCTGGCTGACCCCTCCAGGCATCATGTCTGACACGCCCTGATTGGGGTCATGGGCCATAGACTGCAGAGGGGATGTTGGCAGTGACCACTGAGGGGGCACAGCAGGCCTGGGGCATGACCACTGGCCTCATGGGGAGCTGTTGGTCAGGCCCCTGCAGACACTGCCAGAGGAAGACACATGCCAATGCTTGAGTTCAGCAACCAACAGGAGGGGGGCATCGGATACATAGGAAGCATTCTCTGGAGTGGAAAGACCTAATGATCCTTCACAGCACGGGGATCCTAAGACAGCTTTAGCTCCATGCTGGGCACTAGACTCCAGACTGAGTCACACCTGGTCACTGCTCTTGGGGACCTCACAGTCGGGTAGGAGAGGCACACAGGTGAGCAGTGACATTAAGGTCCTCCAGGAAAGGTACCTAGGAGCCTCAGGGAGGGGAGATCCACTGTCTGGGGCTAAGGGAGGAAGGCTGCTCAGAGGATAAACTTCAGGTGACCCGGCCAGGTAACAATTACAGTAATAGTTCCAGGAAATAGTAACAGTAATGATCATAATTACCACTGAGTACTTATCACTGTGGGCAGGGCAGTGAGGACTGGGGCTTCCCCAGTTGATCCAGCATCCACTAAGGGGCACTAGGCTCTGGGGTGCCCTCAACCCCTCCTCAGGGAGGTCAATACCAGGAGACAGGGGCAGGCGGGTCCCTACAGCCCTGTAGTAGGACGGCAGAGATGGTGCTGCCTCCCAGGATGCCAGGCATGTGCTGGCTCTGCCCCAGATGCTGTGTGGAGTTAGCTCGCTGGCCCCCACCATGTGGGGGTGGGTGGGAGCGGGCTGTGGGCAGCAGGGCCCCCACAGCCTGGAATGGTGTTCAGGGACTGACCACCAGCTGCTTCTCCTTTTTTAACAACATTCTTTCCACCTGCCAAAAGGCGCGCAGCCCATGCATACTTTCCTGGTTATCCACAAGCACACAAGTTTTCCTCTTTAAGGATGATTTCTACCCCATGTGTAAAGATTTATGTAACCTTGTTAAGATACTATATAAATAAAGCTGTTTCCACGGGTCAGGTGCTGGCTGCAGCCGTCGGCCGTGGCAGTCCTTCCGACGCCATCCTGTCTCTCCTCGTGTGTGTGCTCTGTTCTTGTGCGCGTCCCTCATCCTCATTTCCCGTGGCAGCCCTCCCGACGCCGTCCTGTCTCTCCTCG